AAGTGGGCTATTGGGCATGGGCATAGAGAGTGAGCCCGCCAGGTCCACTCGGGATCCACCCACCACTGCGCATCCACTATCACCCCCACCCCTCCCTGGTTTTCTCTAGTTTTCTCTAGTGAACCGCCTGAAACGTTGGCAATTTGTGCTACAAAACCCTCGAATGTAGGCAACCCAAGTAGCATCGTCTACAGCCGCAAGGCGCAATGTGCTGGAAAACGTTAGGCCCGAGGCGAAATGTTTTCTCTTCGGCCTATTACGTCATCGAAGCGGGTCGGTATCGTGACCCTCATTTTCGTGTTTGATCTTCATTTTCACTCAATAATGCGTGTGAGCAGCCGCGCGGTGCCCGGGCTGCGGGTCGCGGTCTCCGTGCCCCCTAACTCGGCCGACAGACTCCGCCCGACTTTCATCCAAATGGATGCTCCATTTGGTTCCACGGTGTTCCAGCAGGGCGATCGACAAGAATCGGGGCACCCGGTACCGCATTGGGGCCGATGAGACGGGCCGGCCACCGGCGGCCGGGTGGAGCCGGGCTGGAGCCACGTCGAACAAGCTTCCCTTGCTACCCCCCCCCTCCTTTAGCCCGTCCTGCTGGTCCTGCTGCCTCGGGTGCTGGCGTACTTCGGGCCAGGACCTTCGGGTCCCGTTCGGCTCTCGTGCCTCCCGTTCGGTTCCCGGCCGGCCGCCCGGCTGGAAGGGTGTGTCTACTGCGTGCGCTGCGTGCTGCACTGCTGGAGTCAAAGCCGGTGGCCGCGCCCTGCTAGGGTGGCCGCTTGTCCTGGCAGGGGCGGGCCCAGGGGCGGGAACGGGGGAGGGAAGGAGCGGGAAACGACTTCAGCGCGCTCTAGGGCAGGCCGTGCTCCGACAACCCGGAGCGTGGTCTTCCCTTCTGGAGCCGCGCCCGTGCATACCCAGGAGGGTATTCCGAAAAGAAAATCAAAACCGAAACAAGAAAAGCAAGACTAGACAGCCCAATCTGTTTCCTGCTGAACGCTGATTGGTCAACGATGACGTCGGTGTGACGGTCGGCTAATGAGCGCGCAGAAGGAAACAGATCGAGCAATGATGTTTTTCCTCGTTATGTTCCGGTTGGCGTCCAGCGGAATCCCCAATTTCTCACACTGTGCAGTACTCCTACTCATTCTACGTAGTCCTGATACAGAAAAGCACGGGTTCTCGCCGTGCTTCCTCACCCGCGAGCAGGCTGTCTCCGGACCAGGGGAGGGGCGCGGGCAGACAAGCGCGAGCGACTTCCGGTCCGGTTCGAACGCCCCAGAGGTGCGCGCTGTATCTCCTCTGGGGTCGTGCTGACATACTTCCGGCGAGTAATCGGCCGATAAGGAAGATTCCGCTGGTTTGTTGCCTACCGACCCCGGGCGGGTGCAATGGGGAGATGGGGGAGGACTTGTGGAGACCCTACTCGTTGGAGGAGGACGGGGGTGAGTCCCGCGGGCCCCTGACTAGCGTGGTGCCTACGTCACGAGCGCGCGCGCGCCGCCGGTGGCGTTGCTGCTACTGCCTCCCCCCGCTGCCGCCGCCGCCACCCTCCCCGGCTCGGGCCGGCTCGGCTCGGCACGGCCCGGCACGGCCCGCCGGGTCCTGCTCGACTCGGCTCGCTCGCCCGGCCCGGCCGCTGCTGGGGTGCTCCGTGCTCCGTGCTCCACCGCTTCAGTTGCTTGGCTCAGTAGCGAGCGTGCTCTGCCGGTCCGTGGTTCTGTGTGTGCGTGTGAGTGCAGGCGTGCGTTTGCGTGCAGTGCGTGAGTGAGACATCCGCGACATGGCCAGCGAGGAGAATAACGTGACGGCCGAGTCCAAGGCGGTGGAGCCCGCCAAGCCGGCGGACGCGCCCCAGGACAACAAGGCCGAGGTGGAGGCCGCGCCGGCCGCGACGCCGGCTCCCGCCGCCGCCGAGGAGGGCAAGGAGGCCGCCGCCGAAAAGAAGGAGGAGGAGGCCAAGAAGGAGGAGGCCGCTCCCCCAGCGCCCCCAAAGCCCACCGTACACAAGCCCAACTTCGAGCAGGATGTGGTGTACCTTTACCAGTTCTCGCGCACCCCGGTTCTACCATCACTGTCGCCTTTCTGCCTCAAAACGGAAACGTGGCTCCGGCTCGCGGGCATCAAATACGAGGTGAGTACATGCGAGTGTGTGTCGAGGATGAGGACCGGGATCGCCTCCGTGGCGGACGGGACGGATCGGCGCGACGCCAACGAACGCTGCGCCGGGCCGGCTGGCGCGCCGTGCCCTGCCGGTCCGCCGAGCCGAGCGCGTCACGGCGGGCGCGGGGGGACGCGCAGCGACGCCCTGGACCAGAGCGGCGTAACGCTGCGGCCTAATGTTAGGTTAAGACTTCGCATCTAACGGCGCCAGACGGGCTAACTCGTTACTCTGGAGCCGCTGGGCTGGTCCGGCTAAACAAAGCGTGAAGCTGCTGCTGCTGGCTGCGGCTGGCTTGGTCCGGGCCGCAGGGCGGGCTGGGCTGGGGCTGCAGAGAGCCCGGCGAGCCGGCAACGCTGGAGCCTGTCCTGCAGCCACCGCCGCAACCTCCGCTGCGCCGCGCCACGCCGCAGGCTGCCTGCGAGCAGCATCGCCTCCCCCGGGCGCAGCCGCCCCGCCCTGCCGGCCCTGCCCCTCCAGGCGGGGACGCAGAATTAGCAGATCGGTTCTAGTATGCAGTACTTAGCGTGCCGGGACGGGCGAGGACGGAAAAACTGGCACCACTCTCTCTCTCAGGGCGTGCAAGCCTGGCCGTGCCCGGGTCAGCGGCCGGGCTAGCCGGGCTGTGGAGGGGGTGCAGGCAGCGCCCTGCCCGGCCCTGCCCGGCCCGCCCCGCGCCGACCCGAATATCTTTGGGATGCAGCCCGGCCGCCGCGCCGCCGCCTCGCAAGGCTGTAAACAGGCGGGGCCGGGGGCGGCCATGTTTTAATGTGAAGAGTTGCGCAGCGCGCCGGCTCCTTGGGCCGATAACTCGGTGACAAAGTGCAGCGCAGCGCCAGTCGTTCTGAGGGGGGGGGGGGGCAATATGTCCAGCAGCAGCACGACAGCGGCGGCGGCCACCTGAATGGAGGAGGTCCTCGCGGCCCTCATCTTGGAGCCAATTTAAACACCCCTCGGGGTGCGGCGGGGCCGGGGGCGATGCGGGCGCGGCGGGGCATGCGGGCGGGGGGCGGGGCGCGGCGCGCGGGTCTCCAGAAGGGATTCCTGTGTTGTACGGCCGGAGGGGCGGGGCGGGCGGTAGTCTATTTCGGCCTGATCAGGCTGGGGCCGGCCGCGCCCTTCCCTTCCGCTGCCCCGCGCGCCTCCCGGCACCCGGCCCGGCCCCGCACCAACGCACTGAAAACAAATAACCCTCTCCAAACAGCGAGCAGAAATAAGCGGGGTGCTGTTTTGCGGCGCTCGGCCGAGTCGAGCGGGCGTGGCCGCGCAGCTGTGCGGGGAAGGCCCCCGGACGGAAGGGAGGGGGGGGGGTGTCAAGGGTCGAGCCGCCGTAGTACGTCTACATGGAGCACGGCGGCGCCCTGCCCGCGCCCTGCCCGGGGCATCACGACTGGCTGACGCGGCCACAAGGACGCTGACGCTCACACACATGTTTGCCTGACTCAACCGGGGCGTGTTCCCGACGGCGGGGCGTGGGGCTTCTCTGCCGCCACGAGGCTGGGAGAGAGAGCAGCGCCGGCCCGGGGGCGCGGGGGGCCCCCGTCTGGCGGTGGAGAGAGGGGCGGGGCGGCGAGCAGAGAGAAACATTTCTCGGAATGTCTGTTCCTCACAGTCCAGTGCGCGGTCCAGCCCATGGCCATGACTTATCTCAGCAGATGGGACGTCCTGACGGCCTGACGGGGCGGGGCCGGCCGGTCCCGGACCACCCATGCGCCTCTGGACGCGGTTTCACTCGCTCGTGGCGACGGGCCCCGGCGGGGCGGCAGGCTGCAGCGGCGCGGGCTTACGCTCGGGGGGCGGGGGCGGGCCGCGGCGGGCGCGCACCACGCGAACGCCGGCGCTAAAGCTCGCCCGCGGCCCGCCCGCACCTACCGGGGGCCTAATTGCGGCCAGAGTTGTGCGAGGTCCGTCCGGCGGCCGAGCGGGCGCGGCTGAGCCGCCGGACGGGCCTCTGCTTCCGTTGTCCGCATTCCTGGATGGATGTGTTGTCCAGCACGGCCCCCGGCGCTTGTCTGGGCGAGCTCGTGGTGGTTGCCCCCTCCCCATTTTCCTGCTGATCCTGGCATGTCCCTTCGTTAGGCCCTTCGTCGGGCACCTGTCGACAGCCACCCCCTCCCCCGCTGATGAGCTGCTTACGGCGGGGATTGTTATCGCTCACAATTTTACGAGGGCCCCGCGACCCGTGTCGGCGGCTTCCCCCAGGCCGGCGCTCGCGAGTGCTGCTCGCGTGCCGGTGCGTCGGAAGTACTGTTGTTCCTGCACGTCCTGGGTGGGGGTGGATTGGAGATCCATTTCGGGTTTCCCGTTCGCCCGCCCGCGGCGCATTTGCAGCCGGTTGCCTACCCCAAGGCGCGGGGCCCCCCCTTCTACCCTGCTTCGCCGGGGGTTGTTTGTCCGCCTGCCCGTCCGCCGCCGAGCAGAGCCTCTGCAAATATTCAAAGCTGCCGTGTGTCCAACCACCCGAGGACACGTGTTTGCGTCGTGTCGGCCCAGAGCACACTTTGGCGGGTTTACGACTGTTGTAGGGGAGGGTGGTGGCGGGCGGAGGGAATGCAGGTCGAGGGTGGAACAGATAAACACGGCCTCGATGTGCTCTGCGGTGGGCGGGCGCCATGCGCGGGCGGGAGCGGGACGTGTTAAAAACGCGTTTACGACCGCTGATCCGCGTGTTATCCGGGTAATCTGGTAGTCGTGGTGTGGAGCACTGCCACCGCTCGACCGAGACATGAGGGGCCGCAAATTAAAAGTATCGGATGCGGGACACGCGTCCCTTCCCCTCCTCCCCCCAGCATCCCCGCCCACACTCTCGTTCGTCTCCGCGTGAAATGTTAGGAGAACGCGCTGCTTGTGGAGAAGCCAGCGCGCGCTGAAAGGGTTCTAGCTGCGTTTGGCGGTTTGGCGCCAGGTTCGTCACCCCTGCCGTACCTGTCGCCCCGCCCGCGCCATGTGGCGGTGCGGTGCGGCGGGTGTGTGGTGCGGCCGAGCGTGGCTGCGCGGGGGTGGGCGCGGCGCGAGGCCGTCGTCCTCTGGCGCGGGGGTAGCGCACTCCCCGGAGCTGACCCCCCGCCCCGCCGCCACTCCCCGCCCGGGCCCGGCTCGGCTCGATCAATAGCCGCGCGGCGTGCGAGCCAAACTCCCATTGCCATAGCAACCCCCCAGCAGCGGCGACGCCGGGCGTCGCTGGCGCAGGCAGCACCGCGCCGGCAGCACTCGGGAGCTTGTTCAGCTATAGTCGGCCGGGCCAAAGCTCGGGCTCGGCCCGCCGCCCCCGCGCCGCCCCCGCCCCGGCCACGCCCAGCGGCGGCGGCCCGGGCAGGTGTCCACCCCCGGCCGGCACTTTGCCGATGTTATCGGCGGGGCCGGGGTCTGGGGGGACGGTGCTGGTAGCGGTGAGGTATGGTCAGGCAGTTGCGAGCTTTAATTGTCTATTTTTCCCCGATAGGGTGGCGAGTGGGGTGGGGTTGGGGGTCGTCACGACACTGCCGGCCGGGAGAGAGGGGGAGTGCGCGGGGCCGTCGGTGCGCTGGGCGCGAGGCGCGCTCAGGACAAAGAGAGGTACCCACGCCCGCCCCGTTAGCGCCCAGCATTTCCGTTTCTTGCGAGGGGCGTGGTCCTGGGGGCGGCGGCGCGACTCGGCGCCCCGAAGCGCAGTTGTCATCAGCCTCCGCGCTGGCGGGGAAGTGTATCACGCAGATTGGGGCCGCTTCTCACTTCCTCTCGCAGGTTCCAAAAAAAGAGATATTAAAAACTACACAATTATTAAAGAAGTGAAGCCAAGTCGCACGACCGCACTGCAGCAGCAGCCCAGCGGGGCATGGCGGTCGGTCTCACTGCTTCCTCCCTTACACAGGCAGCGGTCCCTCCTGGGGAATGGGCGTGAGGCCGGGCCGGGCGCGGCCGCGTCCCGCTGGGGGGCGTTGGACTGGATCGAGGAAGGGAAGAAAAACTACTTTCCGGGAGGTGTCGCTCGCTGGCCGCGCCGCGCCTCTCACCTCCAGCGGAACGGGCGGAGTAGCGGGGCGCCGCGAGAGAGAGGCAGGCAGGCGACACATTTTCCGCGGCCTGCCCAGGGCCTGCCCGTTTGGTGGGGCCACCCTGGCGGCTCAGATGTATGTGCTGCCGTTCTCGACGGTACACGTAAAGTGCTGCCTGGTGCTCGACCCTCACAATGGCCTCCCTGACGGGTGGGATAGGTCTTTACGGGTCGGTCCTGATAACGCCAGTCGAATGGGTGCCCTGCCCGGCGCGGCCCGGGCGCCCTGCCGTGCCGGTCCAGGGCGCAGCGTAAGGTGGCGGGCGGGAGGGTGGGGCTGCGGCGACGGGCAATGACCCCCGGGACTGGGGCGCGGTGGCCGTGGGGTGGTGGAGCCCCACCCCACTCTCGGCCCTGCATCTGACATGCATCTATCTATCTTCATTTCCCCCCTGTCGCATCACTGCGCCACTTCTCACGGTGTCCGGGACCTTTGCTTGTTTCAGAACGTGGACCACAAGTTGAAGTTCCGGTCGAAGAAGGGTCAGTTGCCTTTCATTGAGCTGAATGGAGAGGAGATCGCAGACTCGTCCATCATCATCAAGGAGCTCGCCGAGCGCTTTGAAAAGGATCTGGACAAGGACCTCGACAACGACCAGAAGAACGTCGCATACGCCCTTACGTCAATGATCGAAAATCACCTCCTCTGGTGAGTACCATACGCTCAATAAATGTCAGACATTATTGAGTCTCTTACAATTCCTGCAGAACGCAGGCTGGCATTTGTTTGACCAAACTTAACCCATGTTCTTATCCTTTTGCAGGGTTGTTATGTGGTGGAGGACCAAATTCACCGACGAAGTCTTAAAAGGTTACCACGTCAGTCTGCAGCACCAAATCGGCTCGAAAATCCCCAACGGCATCCTCAACTTTTTCTTCAAATTACAATATGGCCGCAAGGGCGCTAAGAAAGTCAAGGCCCAAGGTATGGGTGTCCATAAAGCAGAAGAGATCAGCGAGTTCGGCCGGAGAGATCTCAAGGTCCTGTCGGAACAGCTCGGTGATAAGCCCTTCTTCTTCGGCGACGAACCCACCTCGGTACGTGCTTGATCCTGGACGCTGCGTCCCCGCCTTGACCTAGCCCCCTGCCTCTGTCCAGGGCGCATTCGCTTCTCTTCCTAACGCTTACTTTGCCTTCCAGCTGGACGTGGTGGCCTTCGCCAACCTGGCCCAAGTGTACTTCATCGACAAGGATGTCAACTACTGCCTGCGGGACTTCATGGTGGAGAGCTGCGCCAACCTGGTGGGGCTTGTCAACAGGATGAAGGAGAGGTGAGTGGATCCCGCCGTCTCTTTATAAATATCCCCGCCGCGCCTGGAGGCTCCCGGGTCCCGGCCCCACTCTCGCTTTTGTCATCCGTTTGGCCGCGGCGTCGTCTGCTGTGCTCTGTACAATCGCGCTCGCTTTCTGACGACGCGTCTGGAAACGTTTGTCGGGGCGAGGCGAAGTTTTAATTCGGATTATTCAATTCATATCTCCCCCTTCTTCTGCCTCCCTCCCGTCTCCCCACCCCACTCGGGCCGGCTCCTCAGTCATTGGCCTGTCTCGCGACGCGCCGGCCGGCCACGGCCCGACCCGACCGCGACCAAGCGCCCGGCCCGGACCAGTCCAAGGGACGAGGGACCAGTCCCTCGGAACCGAACCGGCATACCAAGCCGGGTACCCTTGCACTCGGCTCCACTTCGGGTCGACGCTGTTCGGCGCCGCGGACGCGAGGGGAGGGAGGGGCGCCGACCCGGCATCTGGACAGTAGTTCATGACGCTTCCGCATGGCGCGCTGCAATCACTTCGATCGAAATCTCTCGTCCCTGCTTGCGGGGTATTTTCAAATTTCCGTTTGGGCTCATTCCTAGGGTGACAATTTCGGTCCGTAGTTCATGCTAATAAATTGTGTAGGAATTCCCTTTCCATTCGGAAAGACTTTACATACAAGCTTTATTGAGTCTTGAATGCTAGCTAACGGTGTTTATTTTTAAATTTTCCAATAGGTGTTTCCCCGACTGGGAGGACATGTGCAACAACTTAGACATGAATTCACATCTACCCAAACCTCCTCCAGAAGAAAAGGAGACAGAAAAGAAGGAAGGCAAAGAAGAGAAGGGAGAGAAGGAGGGTGATAAGGAAAACGAGAAGGATAAGGAAGTTGAAAAGGATAAGGAAATTGAAAAGGTAAATTTCTTGTCAACTGTCATCTAATAAGCTCTTGTCTCCCCGTAATCTTTCTAATATTATGTTTTCCATGTTATAGGCGGAGAAGGAAGATAAGGAAGCCGAAAAAACTATTGAAGAAAATAAGTCAAAAGAAGAGAAGGAAGCAGCCAAGTGAATCAGTGGTAGTTGAACCACTAAGCACAACAATTTTTATACAGTCATTTCCTTCCTTGTTTGATTTTTTGTGTATTTGTTTCATTAGGAAATGTTTTATACCTCCTTTGACTTTTTACAATGTTTCTAAAAGAAAAGTATCAGGATAGGAGTGACTCTTCTACACCATGTGTAGAAGTCCTCTCGAATTTTATGGACTGACAGTTTGTAATGTTTTTTTAATATTTTTTTTAAAATGACACGAGTAGGTCCAGGAAGGAAGTGAATGATTTTGCGGCGCTCTTGTTGGCGGCTGGACTGCTCAATGATGAAGGATATTGCTCAGTTTGTTGAGTGCTGTCCTGTTTGGCTGCTTTGGAGATGCGTGCTGCTCTCCCTGTAGGATGTCGATTGTTCGCTGGGGTGTGTGTGTAATATATTGTACATGGGTCACTGTAGTAGTTTTGGGACCAGCTGTGAATACTTAAAGCTAACATCACTGCAGCCAAACTAGTTGAAAGTAAACAACGTATGTACCTAAAAGACAAGTCATCTTACATTCTCTTTCACGTTTCTATGTTGCATCTCATTCATGTGTAGAGCAGTTTTGTACTGTGTACATGACTCTTGACCAAAGAGGCACGCCAGTGACTAAGTCTGCATCAGCTGATGTCACGTGCTATGAATGTTTGTGCTAATGTAATTTTTCCGTATGACTGCATTTGTGGCCCTTTTTGTAACAGCTGGGAACTCTACTTCAGCTGTGACAAAGATGTTTATATATTATAATATACTGTATTAGTGAAATTTGACTTGTTCCTTCCCTGATTGTTCCTGCTTCTAACCCTCTCCCTTTTCCTTGCCCTTTCCTTCCCCAGTCCCCCTCCCCCTTTATTAATATCCGCTTGTTTGTCATTGTAGACATAGTTGTATACTTCTGATGTTTTATTGAGTATATTGAATGTCAGAGCAAATGACATGGCTTTGTCAGCATGTGAGCGGATGAAGATTATAAATATATATATATAAATATATAAATAAATAACTATATGCGTGAGGTGTGTAGCACCTAGGCCACTTTTTCTACATTATTTTGGGCCAAGCAGGCTGTTTCTTGTTGCTTTGGTGCAGAATGACTGGATGATTTAGTTGTCATAGCATTCATTATTCAATTCCCAATTTGTTTTGGCGCCATGTAAAGGAGGGGTGGGAGATAGTGGATCTAATGCCTCTTTCTCCCACCCCTCCTCTCCATATAAAATCATGATATCAGCTTAAATTTAAGTAATGCTTCATGTAAGCTGTAAGTACACCATTGCCAAATAAAGATAAAATCTAAGTTTCTTGTTTCATTTTTTCTAATTTACCATGTCAGGAATATTATTTCATGAGGGCAAGAAGAATACTGATACCAGTAAAATCTTTTTATGTAGAAAAAAATAGAATTATCTTTGCCCCTAATACACAGAATTCAGATCATTGAATTATAACAGCACCATTACCTGGAAGGGTTTGGAAGATAAATGGTTCATCTCTCTTATCCTCTGTAATCAGAGTAGAGTAAAATTTTTCCTTCAAAGATGAGATTAATGTCTCAGCATGCTCCTCTGTTGTCAAAGCAACCATACATCCACCCCATCTGAAATTGAAAACAATGAGGTTTGAAATATTTACCTGCTGCGTATATGGTTTCCTTAAATTTGAGAGCACTTACCCAGCACCTGTAAGTCTGGCTCCAAGTGCCCCACTTTTCCGAGCTGCAGAAACTAACTCATCAAGTTGAGGGTGACTGCATTCATAAAGATCACGCAGTGAATCATGACTGAGGTTCATCAAATGACCTAGTTCTTTTGAGCTTCCCCCATTTTTACAAATATCCTTGAATTGAGAAACTCTTAAGGCCTCTGTAAAAGATATGTTTCAAAAACAATACTCATCTGGAACTTGGAAAATTATTTTCTGTTAAGTTGTGAATACCTTCAAATACATGTGTCGCACGCTGACAAAGTTTAAAAGATTTTCTAGAACGAGTGTTTACAGGAAGGTAAGAACTATCTAAGTCATTGGTGTCAACTCCTAAGATTTCACATATCTGGAAGTGAAAGTGAGATTAATACACTTGACAATCACTCGTTTGAACCCCCCAAAAATTTGAAAGAGCATAGTAACTCAAAAGTACAAAATACCTCTTCTTTTGTAAATACATCCTTTGACAAAATTTCAGCAGTTTTCAGAATTGCATCAGGAAGACTAACTTTCAACTCTCTCTGGACATCAGCTAGCACAGTTAAATCTTTCCAATTCTGAAGACCAGTCTTTTTGGCAAGAATCTGTAGTACAAAAAGTAAATAAGAAACAACAACAAAAGGCTGGGTTAACAAAATGTATGCACATTATTAGAAGACTTACAACAGAGGCCAGACGGCATTCTGCCACTCGTTGATTAAACTGATCGCTAGCAGCTTTGTTTAATTCTGCAAATGAATGGGCAACAAGTATTGCTAATCCAGAAGGAATTTCCACGTCTTCTGCTCTAAGAGGCTTAAATGAAATATGCTTCGCACAACCTGAAAAAGTAATGAAAAAATAGAACAATCTAGTAGACATAAAACTTTCAAAATTAAATGTTTTTATAGTGTACCTTTGTTGGCAAGGAATGCAATTGCTTGATCCATTCCCCCTCCTTCAGTTCCAATATACCTCTCACTCTGAGCACAGAGGGAGGATAATTCTTGTTTGGAAAAAGTTTTCTAAAAATAGCACACTAGATTAAAAACGGAACATAAAAGAAAGTGAAGGGACGAGTGGAATCTTGTTACCTTATGAGCATGAGCTGTGGCAAGCGCTGCAGCGCACACTAATGCACTAGAACTTGATAGACCAGAGTTCGGTAATACATTTCCAGCTACAGCTAAATTAATGCCTTGAAGTGTTTGCTCGTTTAATGATTCTACAACACCTTTTATACCACATAACACATAGTTGTGCCACTGCACTCCATCATCATTTGTATTAAAACTGTAAGATATGGATCATCAAGTTATCATTTTTACTGTGAATGCATCAAAATCAAAAGTAGCATGTGGATGTGGAGTCATACCTCAAGCTCATGATGTTTCCTTTGAAAGGTGCATATTTTGGGTTGATATTTATAAGATTTATGGTAGAATCGTCTGTTGCCTTCCCTGCTATTAAAATATGTTGTTCTAAAGCCATAGGCAGCACGGAATATCCACAATAATCAATGTGCTCCCCAATCAGGTTCACCCTAAACAAAAATTAAATTTGATGAAAAGCGATTGAGTACAGAAGGACAATTAAATCAGCATTTGGGAGTGTATACCTTCCTGGGACACAAACGATAAATGTTGGTGGGACACCATAGGATTCATTGAATTTCCCCACAAGGTTTTGGAGAAGTGGATCATTTTTGTATTTGTCTAAAGGCACTACGGAGGGTGTATCAACAGATCCCTACAAGTTTAACAAACAAACAATTAGAGGAACTGTCAAAATCTCACATGGAGAGAAGAAAGCAAATAAAGTCAAAGGAATCAAAAAAAATATTTGTTTTAATTTAGGTGTCATACCATTTTGTTTAATGTTAACCCGGCAAACAGATGTTCAATCGGTCTCCAGTGCGAGCCACGTCACAGCAAAGAGTTTTGAGAGGGAGTTCGTTAAGCCGTTAAGCCCCTCAGGACCGGCTCCGCCCCCGAGTAGCCTACAGGAGCAGCTGTCAGCTGCAGGTGGCACAGCTGCACTCAGGTGCCCGCAGATGCAACAGGCGAGGCTGCGCGTTTTACTACGAGAAATAATGGTCGCGAGCACAACCGAGGTGTCGTGGTAAAACGCCGAAAGTTAGGAGCCTCCAGGCAGGAGAGGGTGACACATCCTTCCAGGTGAACCGCTGATTTCAAGGGAGCAAAGGATGGCAATCCTGGAGTGTTGTGGCTCGTGCAGGACGCGAGTCGCCATCTGGCGTCTCTCTGTGCAACTACATCCGACTCCAGCAGTGCGCAGCTGAGCCACCAGGGGGCAGCACATCCTGCACAATGCGGTTTGGCGCGCGTGCGCCACTGGTTTGAATGCATCGAGTCCTGGGCGTGGGCGCCTTTTCTCAAGGGCGCCCGCAGGGTAGGCAGGCGGTCGCACGGGTGTACGATGGGTCGCGTACCCAGCGGGCGCGTCGGGGAGGCAGGCGGGAGAGTGCGGCGGGGCCCTCTTCTCCTGGTCCTCCCCGGGTCCCGAGGGAGCCTCGTCGCGTGCGGAGCGCGCTCAATGGGCCGGGGCCAGGGCCCTCCGAGACAAAGACAGTCAGTCACAACAGAGCCAGTCACGGCCGGTTATTTGCATGCAGAGCCGCGTCAAACGCATGACGAGCACCTCGCCGCCGTGTGGGGGCTGTCTGGAGGGGGAGGGGGAGGGAG